CACCTACTGAGAGCTTGAAGACCGCTGCGCTCTGATAAATGACATTGAAGACTACGTTCTGGAAGGTCAGGGACTGCTTGTCGTTGATGGTCCACCGGAAGACCACGTCCGAGCCGGCCTCCACCACGGGGCTGTACCTCTGTGGGGGGACTAGTGTCAGCCTGGACTCTGTGGAGGACTGCTCTGCCCTTGGTCTGTCGCCTCCTGGACACACCTCCCATTGGGCTGGAGAGTCCCACGCAGGGCACAGAGTGGAGGAGGTGCCTGGGGCACTGCATGCCATGGGAGCCAAGCCTGGGCGGGAGCACTGACTATCCGGCTCTCCAACCAGCCACATTGTACTACTGATGCCTCAACCGCTCTGTGCCTCAGTTTCCCCATCTGTAAAGCAGACCTAGTACCAGCTACAAAGAGTCCCCCTCTCTCTGAGTCCTCTCAGACCCTCCTGGGGCTCCTGCCCCACCTCCTCAGCCAGAGAGCTCGGAGCAATGAGGGGAGGCACACGGGCCTCACAGGGACAGGACCCACATCGGCTGACAGAACCCAGGACAGGCTGCACAGGTCATGCCAGGGCCATCAGAAACGGCCCCTCCCAAGGCCCCTAGTGCAGCGGCGGGCACCCACAGGACGGAGACAGCCCTGTCCCGCATGTGCCCAGCATGGTAGCACCGCAGGCAGCCCGCAGTTTCCCATCAGAGGTTCAGTCTTCACCTCAAAAGCCACTCGCTTTAGCCAGGCGAGAACACAGCAGAGGGTGTGACAGACTCATGGGGGTTCGCGTGAAGTCAGGGGGCGGAGTTTTAAATTCATTTCATGAAATGAGACAGTGGAATGTGTTAGTGGTGCCGCTGTCCGAGCTGTGACTTTCCAGGAATTTAGAGCCCACCAGGTAGCCTGAGGAGCCAGCCAGCAGGACCTGCCCAGGGCTGACGTCCCCAGTAACTGGGCTGCCGCTCTCACTAGGAAGCCAGGCCTCGTGCCCTGTGTGGGCACCCTGTCTGTGGGCACCTGCCTGGGGGCTGGCGGCAGAGCCTCAGCCGTACTCACCACTAGGACTCCCTGCAGCACACGAGCCTCAGGGCTGGGCGTGGCACGGAGGCCACAGATGGGCTCCTCCGCCGTCACCCGCAGGCTGAGGTTGGCCCGGCTGGCACTGTTTTCCGCCACAACCTCCACCATGTGCTCCCCCTCACTGAGCCACGGCAGTGCTACCACTGAGAACTGGGTATCGTTGGTCTCCCAGGGGCAGCCAGGCAGGAGGGTGGCCACCAGGGCAGGGCAGGCAGCCTCAAAGCGGGTGCTGACATTGCCCCCAGGCCAGCGAGCCGTGGCCGTGGCGTTGGCACCAGAGTCCACCTGGAGCACCAAGGCCGAGCCATTGGTGGGCACGTATAGGTGGCCATTGTGGGGGGCAGGGTAGATGACCCGCAGCCCAGCCACTGGGGAGACCACGTTGAAGCTGCAGGACAGGTTATGCCTGGACACGCCATTGCCCACCTCTGCCCGGACCTCATAGCGCCCAGGCAGCCGCAGCCCAGGGTTGGGCCGCAGGCCCAGCAGCACGGTGAGCTGTTCCGTGGCTGCAAGCAGCCGCAGGGCACACGCAGGGCAGGCCCGAGTGCCCTCCAGCTGGGTTGGCAAGTGGGGCAGCCAGGCCGAGGCGTTGGCAGAGAGGTACGGGGCCTGGGGGCCAGGGTGGCCGGGAGCCGGCGAGCAGTGCAGGAGGGCGCCAGGGCCAGCGTCGTGCTGCAAGCCAACGAGGTCACCAGGGAGCATGAGGACATCCTGGCCATGGAGGGTGACCTGTGGCAAGGGAGGCAGGGCTGCATCACGTCCTCATGGTCATGGCCCGTGGACCCCTGCACAAGGGAGGAGGGGGGACAAGCAGGGCTCCCCACTTCATCAGCCAGGCCTCAGGGAACTCCCCACGGAGCTCATGACAGGGACAAGCAGGACAGCTGCGGACAGGGGGACACACGGGGAGAGGACACAGGCCGAGATCTGGCAGGCAGGAAGGAGCAGCTGTGCCAGGAGAGGGGACAAGGAAGCACAGCACGTGCCAAGAGCCCAGGCGAGAGCTTCTCCCACTGGGAGAGGGGCAAGGGCACTGCAGAGGTCGGAGGTTGGAGGTCAGAGGTTGGAAGTGGCAGGGACATGGGAGGAGCCTGCAGGCTGGGTGTGTCTGGTGAGCAGACCCAGACCTTGGGCAGCAGACAGGAAGGTGGCCTGAGGAGATGCAGGGGACAGACTCAGGTCAGGGCCACACACCGAGTACTGCGCGGGGGGCCCCGCAGGAACGGAGAAGAGGAACTCTCTCCATAGCGCATAGAGGGCCCCGGGCAGCCCCGGCCCTGACGTGCAGCCATTGGCCTGGGGATGGCAGGAGGCGTCCAGCGGCACGCAGACATTGGCTGCAGGGCACCAGCGTCCCCCCGGCATGCACTCGGGGACCAGCTGGGTCCTGTTGTCCGGGGACCTGCTCTCAGGCTCGCTGCCGTTCTCCGGGGTCCCTGCGAGGAAGGGAGGGTTGTTGGGGCCCTGATTCGCCCACAGGCCACCGTCAGAGATGCCCACCTGACTGCACCGGCAAGCCTGGCTTTGCTGTGAGAACAGGTCTCCCCGCCTGGGCAGCACTCCCAGCCCAGTGCTGCGTCCCTGCCTCCGGCCAGCCGACTGACCCAGGCCGGCCCCCAGACAGGCCCGACCCGATCCATCCCTGGGACACCTGGAACGAGCTGGTGTCTCTGGAACTCCAGCTCTGTCCACCAGAGACAGGGGACCGCTCTGGTGGCCACGGGACCAGCAGACGTGAGAGCTCAAAGAGGCCACCCCGAGCCCTGCGGTGCCCACCACCCCAGAGTCCCACCTGCCGTGCTGAGGAGCCGGTACACCTGCAGTCGCAGCTGGGCAGGCCGCCGGAGCTCCTGGGTCCCAAATTCGGCTGTGGTGAGGAAGGCTTCGTGGCTCAGACTCAGGCCCGGGAATACCATGACCTGGAGGGTAGGGGGCCGCCTCAGCTCCACAAACTCCACCCCAGCCTGAGGCCCAGACTCCCCTGACCCAAACTTCCCCAGAAAGAGGGGAAGGAAGGGAAGTGAGCCTTCAGACCCCCACATGTCACGCTCCTGTCGCTCACGAGGAAGACTCCGATGGAAACTGTCCATGGGCAGCAGGACCCCTGACCTGCCTTTCAGGAATAACTCGCAAACACTCAGAGAAAAGGCCTGGGGGTAACGTGAGTCAACACTTCCCTCTCTGCACTCTGGCTTTTCCCAACCATCTTCACTAGGCCCAAGCAGCATTAAGGCCCCCAAGATTTTTAGCGAGGCCCACAGTGGGCAGGGCAGGCAAGGCCTCCAGGGGCAAGCAGGAGAGTGGGTTCTAGAACGAAGAGGGCCAACTACCTCCACGGGCTCATGCGGGGCTGAGAGGCCATCCTGCGGTATCAGAGGCGTCAGGGGTCCCTGCAGGTCCCCACTGGGTGCTCCCACGAGGAGGTTCTCGGCATCCTGCACTGGGCCTGGGGTGGTGAGTGCGCAGTGAGGCGCCGGGCCAGGGCCCAGGACACCAGGGCCAACAGACTGGGGACCGAGCAGCCCGAGAGCTCCCACCAGCTCCTCCACCTCCACCGCGGGCCCTCGGCAGACCCCTAACCATAGCCAGTGTCTCAGGATCCCCGCCTGGCCCCTGCACACCTCCAGGCCGCAGTTCGCAGACGTAGCTGTGTGGCGCTGAGCACAGGTCGGTGTTGCACCACCCGGTAGGCCCGAGCCGGACGCAGTGCTCAGCTGTGGCTGGGTGTGGCTCCCCGGGCAGCCAGTTCTGGCAGCTCTCCAGGCTGAAGGCCTCGCCCTGCGGCGCCAGGCCCGCCTCCGCCCCCTGCACAGTCGAGAAGCCGATCCACACGTCCAGGCTCCTGTGGGCGAGTGTGGGATGGCAGGGGGCTCAGGGCACTCCTCCATCCTCCTATCCTCACAGTAGCCCGTCCAGAGCCCCATCACTGTCCCCTTTTCCAGATGGGGAAACTGAGGCTCAGAGCCCAGAGAGCAAGGCCCACCAGCCCAGGCTCACAGCAGCACCCACCCATGGGGCCTGTGGGCACCGGCAGGGATCTCCGTGCAGGCCACCTCCCATGTGGCATGCCCCATGAGGGTCCAGAGGCTGTCCCCAGCTCACGTCAGCCTCTGTATCTGCAGAGCTGACGCAACGGCCCTGCCGGCCGGCGCCATCTCCTTACCAGGGCCGGCCCAGCTCCCGTCTGTCTCCACCTAAGCCTCCCCAGCCGCGGGCTCTGCCCCAGTGTTTTGGAGATCCCCCAACCTCTGGCCACTCAGGGGTGGGGGCAGGCACCTGGTAACCCGGGAGACCAGGAAGCGCTGCACGGCGGGACTGTCCACCATGGCCAGGGCGGCCCCAGCCCAGGCCCGGCACTGCTCCTGTGCCTGCAGCCAGGCTGCCTTCTCCACCACCAGGCGGTAGCAGTGCCCGTTGCCAGGGAAGATCTCCGTGTCCGAGGGGCAAAGCGGGTGCACCACTGGAGACCGGTGGGAATGAGGGTGTCAATGGTCAGTGTGGGCCTAAGATGGGGGTACCAGGCTCTGCCCCACCCAGACGGCCCTGGGGAGGAAGGGGAGGTGGGCAGGAGGCACTCACCTCGGGCCAGCTCCTCACCCAGGGCCACGATGCTGTAGGCAGCCTCCAGGCCTGAACCGCCACGGTTCTGGATGCTGAGTTTGAGGCTCTCGTCACTCTGCACCGAGGACGGGCACACAAGCTCCAGGGCAGCAGGTGCCGCTTCCACCTGCACATTTGTCCCCAGCAGGGCTGAGCCGACCCCCAGGGCCACCACAGCCGTCACATGATAGCGCCCAGGCAGCACATAGCGGTGCGAGGCAGCCGGGCCAGCGGCATCCACCTCGGGGGAGCCATCTCCGAAGTCCCAGCGTGTGGCAGTGACAGGGAGCGGGGCAGCGATGTGGAAGGCTGCTAGCTGGCCAGAGGCCAGGGGTCCATGGGGCCCCACCAGGGCAGCCCCTGGGGAGGCAGGGAAGACATGCTGGAGGAGGGTTGGGCCCCCACAGTCGGGCGCAGGAGGCGGCGGGGGGCCAGAGCAGAAGGACAGGCAGGCGAAGGGGGCACTGGAGGGCTGGGCTGCCCCACACAGGCACCAGCCCTGCTCCGAGAGGGCCGCAAGGCCCCGGCCAGTGGAGAAGCAGAAAGCGCTGCAGGCCTCTGGCTGAAGTAGGCCTTCGTGGGCAGCTGAAAAGGCCACTGCTGCCACAGTGCCTGAGCTGTTGTCAGGGAGGCACGCGATATACTCCTCACCTAGAAGAGGCAGCCACTAGTCCCTGGGTTCCCCTCCTCCTGGCTCCACCCCATGCCCCCCATCCACCCGCAGGCTCCCATGCTGCTCTCTTGGCCCGGAGGCCCTCCCAGGTGTCTGCAGGGCCCAGGTCCCACCTGGCTGGGAGTGACAGAGCTGGCCCCACCCACTGGCACTCACCACAGTCACTGTCCAGCAAGGGGATGCCGAGCAGAGGCTGGCCAGCCAGGGAGCCAGGCCCAGCACACGTGGCCGCCTCGGGCTGCACCACCCGCACTTGCTGCTCCTCTGCCCATCGCGGCAGCCACGCCAGGCCACAGTCACACTCAAACGGGTTCCCACTCAGGTTTCTGCAAGGCAGGGGCAGGAGTTGGGGACCAGGTCTGGTGGGAAGTGTCTACACCAGCCCCTCACCGGCAACCAGGCCCTGGAGCCACCCTGACAGCACCACCTCCCCTGCCCCAACCAAGCCGGCCCTGGGGGGCTCCAAGCAGGCAGTGAACTGCCCCCAGGATCTGGTCTCAAGCCTGGAATGGGACACAGACCAACTGGGAGGGCAGAAGGGATGCTGGGGGCCTGGGGTCCAGCCACTGACACCCACCCAAAGAACCACAACTTACATTTCACTTAAATTAAATAAATTAGCAAATATTCCTTCTTCTAGCGTAGAAATCTTGTTGTTGCTTATATCCCTGGAAGAGAGGGGGGATTCGGCAAAGCTGATGGAAGCCCCCACAGCCGAGCAGCAAGAGGCGGTGCCGCCGGCCCATCTGTGATGAGCCCTGCATGCTGGCGAGGCTGGGGGACACTCACAGCTCTGACAGTTGCGAGAGGTTCGCCAGGAGCCCGACGTCCAGCGCCCGGAGCAAGTTATGGGAGACGTCTCTGAGGAGTGAGTGGCAGTGGGTCAAGGGCCAGAGCCCCTAGTAGGCCAGGCCATCCCTGGGCCCACCCCACACACTTTTAGCACCCCCAAGCTATGGCCTCCCACCCTTGAGCTCCCCACTCCCTGAGGTCAGGAAGGGTCTTTCTGATGGAAGACCCAAATGAACGCTCATCTGGGGAAACCAAGCCAGGAGAGGCCTGGGGGCCTCAGCCCTCTGTACCCATCTCAGCCCTATGCCGAGTGCCACATAGACCTGTCCACCCAGGGCCAGGATGGGCACAGATCCCCAACCCATCCCATGCAGGGCCAAGGTCCTGCAATTTCCTGTCCACAGTCGCCCCCAAGAGCCAAGGCCCCCTGTCCCCTGTCCACAGACCCTCCACAGAGCCAAGGACTCCCATCTCCTGTCCACAGTCCCCCCCAGAGCCAAGGCCTCCCAACCCTGTCCACAGCCCCTACACAGACCCGAGGGCCCCCCATCTCCTGCTCCTAACCCAGCAGGGTGGTCCCACTGTGGGACCACAACCAGGTATGAATGTGTGAGAAGCAGGCTCACTACCAGGCTACCAGGGAGCACAGGGAGCAGGCACCATCTTGAGGCATAAACCCAGGAGAAACGAGACATCCAAGATGGCCGGGCACAGGGGCACACGCCGGTAACCCAGCACCGTGGGAGCTAAGACGGGAGGATCGCTTGAGCCCAGGATTTAGAAACTACCCTGGGCAACACAGTGAGACCCCATATCTACAAAAAATATGTATCAGCCAGGCATGGTGGCATGCGCCTGGGGTCCCAAACACTTGGGAGGCGGAGGCGAGACAAATCGCTTGAGTCCAGAGAGGTCAAGGCTGCAGTGAGCTGAGATCGCATCACTGTACCACAGCCTGGGTGAAAGGGCGAGACTCTACCTCAAAAATAAATAAATAATAAATAAATAAAACATCAAAGACCAGCAGACCTAACTCCATCTAAAATACACAACTTCTACAAAAAATATAAATAAAATCAGAAAACAAACTACAAGTTGAGAAAAGCACTAGCAACTTAGATGACATATTGAAGGCCAAAAATACTCTCCCAACACAGCTAAGTACGAAAAAGTCAACAATTTCAGTTAAAAAGAAGAAAAGGAATTTGGGTGTGGTGGCTTATGCCTGTAATCCCAGTGCTTTGGGAGGCAGAGTAGGGAGGACTGCTTGAGGCCAGGAGTTTGAGACCAGGCTGGGCAGCATAGCAAGACCCCATCTCCAAAACGAAAAAAAAAGAATCAGCCAGGCATGGTGGTGTGTAGTTGTAGTTCCAACTACTCGGGGGGCTGAGGCAGGAGGATCGCTTGAGCCAGAGAGGTCGAGGCTGCAGTGAGCTCTGATTGTGCCACTGCAGTCCAGTCTGGGCGACAGAGCAAGACCCGGTCTTGAAAGAGAAAGAAAAGAAAGAGGTCGGGCATGGTGGCTCACGCCTGTAATCCCAGCACTTTGGGAGGCTGAGGTGGGTGGATCACGAGATCGAGAGATCGAGACCATCCTGGCCAACAGGGTGAAACCCCATCTCTACTAAAAATACAAAAATTAGCCGGGCGTGGTGGCGGGGGCCTGTAGTCCCAGCCACTCGGGAGGCTGAGGCAGGAGAATCACATGAACCCCAGAGGCGGAGCTTGCAGTGAGCCAAGATCATACCACTGCACTCCAGCCTGGGCGACAGAGCGAGACTCCATCTCAAAAAAAAAAA